TCTTGAACTCATTCTGATGCAATAAGCTCAGATTCTGTGTGGCCTTATTCTGAGCAGTTATTTTCTACATATGTTGAAGTTGAGAAAAAAGTTATTTGTGGAATTTATTATTGATTTTTGATGAACAGGAGTACCAATTTAATATGTTCTCATAGAAGTCAATTGGAAAATTTAATTCGACATATTATTGATGCTCCAGCATGGGAGCAATGAGGTCCAAGCACGAATTCACATCTTGGGGCCACACTGTATAAATAAGTATATAAACTACTTTAGTGAATCAATAACATACTTAAGGAATCATGTAGTTTATTAATAACCTGTTGAAGTACAGTATTAAGGAAGAAGTGTAAAGGAAAACTGTAAGACGATGGACGTAAACAACATAAAACCTGGACGAAAACGTTGTAGCTCTAATAATGAAGCAGTGACGTCCATCTGTGGTTGTGGGGATTTCCGTCGAACAGGAACTTCCTGCTTCACTATTCGTGGAAGACAGAAACGAGTAGAACGTGCAAAGGAGTCTCCCTTCTTTGTCCTGAAGCAAGGATAGTACAGTGCAAATAAGCCATATAGACGATATTTTTCCGAAACCAGTTCTCCTGGTCATCACAGTCGACGTGAACTAGAAGCCATAGCCGAGTTTTTTTTATTTTAGTGACCCAAAAAAATATTTGACCTTGATTCTGGTTACCGAGTGACGTACCGTATATTTTTGTTCTTTCAGAAAAAACTCACTGCATCATGATGTCAAAGTCAAAACGCCAAATTAATGAACAATAGCGCTGAAACTGATACAATAGACCTTTAGGACTTCGCTTCTTTGCTCCTGCTTCACTAAGAAGGAAACGATGAAGGCTGCTTCAAGGGTATAAGCGGCCCGTCAACCTGAACCCATTAAATTCGTGGCCTTTAAATATATTTTCTTAGACTTCAATCGAAGTTTGATTTTGATCCGCACGTAGGAAAACATAGGAAAAAACTGTCACAAAGAGCATTTTCTTAAGTACATTTCTTCCCGAATTTGGAAACACAGCAGCTAGGAGAATCAGGTGATTTTCTCATCAGGAATCACCATTCATGTAAGCCTTCAAACGTCCATTCCACCAAAAAGAACAGGCTCATTCAGAAGAACCCAGATCCGTAGGAGCGATGAAAATACTGAAGTCTATGTACATTCAATTATCCAACTAACTTTTTTTTTATCAAAGGTCCAATTGCGGCAAAACCAGCTCCAGTGTGTCCAGTCGATAACACCATCTCGGCTTGTGTCGTGACGCCGGAAGATTGCTTCAGCGACGCAGAATGCAAGCAGGGTCAACTGTGCTGCCCCCGGGGATGCTCCCGCCGTTGTACTGCGCCGACGTTTCGCCAACCTGACCCTAGAAGTCGCTGCACTCGCGGATCGTGTCCCAGAGGCACTTCATGTGTCATCTACGAGACGAATTGCAACCGCGGCATTACCGGTCTACGCCTTTGTCCGCTTGCTACTATCTGCGTTCCTGGTGAGTTTAACAAACGGAAATTGATTCATTTGCATCGCAGTCGGTTTTGATTTATCAGCGATTCTATATGCTTTCAAATTATTTCATAATATTTCGATCTAGTCCAAGAAAACGCTTTGATTCAAAGTCTTTTCGAGAGAATCGGCATCAAGTGTTGTGTCAAAGGTCTCCCATTTTAATGATCGCGTTTTCCATACTAACGTTTTCTTTTTTCTTGGTTATGTTCGCAGATTTCCGGGATCAATGTCAAGTGATCAGGTGCACAAGTGAAACTCAGTGCAGATACCGGCCAAATCCAAGCTGCGCGAGACCAAGCAGATCTTGTCCGCCAATTGCGGGTTGTTTCCCAAGAATTCCGCAGGTCTAACGTCTTTCTTCCATCAATTGCCTTATTATGATCAATTTTTTTTATTATTGGAAATGTAAATGTATATCTGTATACGTATATGTATGTGGCGTTGTTTGCAATTAAATTCATTCTGCTGAAGTATTTATGCTTGTCCAATTTGATCTTTGAATCATTGTTCTCTAGGACGATAACAATGGTGCAGTATTGTATATTCAAAATGAGATCCGTGATACAAACCTCTTTAAAACGTATTTGAATTCAATGAACTTCATTATATCATAAATTCATAATAAACTATGTAATTATTTTTCATGATAGTCGATACAGTTTTAGATGTGTAGGCAGATATAGTGCATAATTTATCCTGAGTGACACATAGCTTCGAAGAAAAACTTTCCCATGAATAATCTAGCAACTCAGAAATGTTTCCAGTTGAACGGTATTCTAAAATGTTGCATCACGTTTTATTTAAATGTGGAGTTTCTGCTGGTAAATGCAACAATAATACGTAGAAGCAAGGGAATGATCTTATTCTGAAAATATTGACCGAAATGCAAATGCGTCAAACATTCAAAGGCCAAAAGATTTCAAATTTCCAGGGAAAAAATAGAAATTGATGGAGTTTGATACTGTATTCGAGTGAAATTTTTTCATAATCTTTTCTGTGCGAAACACAAAATTGTATAGGTAAAGGGTATTGCTTTTAAGATTTTCAGTTTAATTCTGTCCCAGATGTCTCTTGAATAGTACGACGTCCTCATTTTGATCAAGTACTAAAAATGAGCGAGAAGCTTCACTGCACAGTATTTGACATTAAAGATAAGCGGGTTTATCATCCAGACTCTTTAATAATTCTTGACACAGAAAACCAGCACATGGAGGGCTTTATTTTTGTCACTTCTTTCTAAGATTTTCACGCTTTCAGCTGCCAAGTTATCGACGAATTCGGAATGATGAAAGCCGTCGTCGACGTCTGCGCACGTATGAACGCATGCATTGTATCCACGAATGCTAGAACACGAGTATCCCGTCGGTTCATAATCTCATATCCAGGCTGACGGAAAAACTGTGTAAACTTTCACAGTGTCGGTCTTATCTAGTATCTCATACCACACCTTTTATTTAGTCGCTACTCCGCAAGTCTGCCGCGAAATGCTTTCAAAATGCTCCGTGTGAAATCAAGAATTTCGGAGAACTTTTTTTTTGCTGCGCACCGTGCAAAGATCAGTCAGCAATTAGCATTAAGTGGTACATTTTTAAAATTTAATATTTTCACGTGCTTTTGTGAAATGTTCAAGCCGAAACATGGAGTTACTGATTTACCTGTTCATGTATTTTTATCTGCACTCATCCACCGCTCAAATCTCAAGATGGAAAATTTCATCAGTTCAATAATTTCGTAAGATTTTTATTCTTCGACACGTGTTGAGGGACATTTTGAACCTGTGGCATAAGTATATGTACTGTAAAATACTTTTAAGTATTGGCTCTCGTTGGTTAATAGCCAGGGATTTATCCGCGAAATTAAAATTTTTTCACGACCATTTCTGAAAATTTCAAGCCAAAAAAGTGGAGTCTACGTGCTGATTTACCTGTACAGTACATACATTATCATCTGTGATGAAACAACTCGTCGATTTACCAATTCAAGTATTTTTATCAAATCGCCAGAACGACGAAATCATTCGACAGTTTAATAGTTGTAAGATTTTAACATTTTGAGTACGTGTCTTGATGACATTTTGAACCCGCGTTGCATGTACGTATGTACAATACTTATACGTATTTCCACACATTGATACATTGTAGCCCTGCAAAAAGCCACGCCCAAAAGAAGACGCGGCATGAATTTGGCCGCCATGTCTCAATCTTTAAAAACGTTTCCTGAGGATGACTAAAGCTATTTTTATTATTTTAAAAGGCGGTGCAATTTTTCAGATCTGTCTTTATACTCCTTGAAAACGCTGATGGAAACTGTTTTATTATTTAACTTCACATATTTTATTAATGGCGAAAAAAAATTTGAAACTCTAATTGAAATTGAATGACCCACAGATATTTTCGGTACTGTGTTTGTTTCATTGGTGAAAAAATTCCGCAGTTTCCACATTTTCCCTTTCTATTTCAAAAATCAAAAGACAAATTAATTTTTCAAGCCTCGAACGAAACTCTGCCGCAGATTTCACTCCAGTCCATTTTTTTCTAGTCACGTTATTTCTTGTCAACATAGAGGACGGCTCTGTCTTCCCATGCTTAGATTCAGTCTATAGAGCCTTCTGACCAGAAAGGCTTAAATTAAATGTGCTCTCTTTTAAGGTCTAGTTAACCTAAAATACTTCTCAAGTATCTAAACAGCTTGAACTTATTCTCGCTCAAGAATAAACTTCTCCTCCGTTCTACTCACTGAAGTCAAAACTTTTTGCTGAAAGAATGTTTCACAATGTAGTATTTTCAATATTTAAAAACCATGATGGAATGAAAGACACTTTTTCAGAGTCATACTACATTTGTCTCTGGCCTTTTTTCAGTACTTTTATCTAGTCATCAAGTAGAAAAATGTAATTCCTTCTAGATAGTGTTCTAGAAAACACTCCAAAATCTAAAGAAGCTCAAGAAAAAATAAAGCAAATTCATTCATCCTCAAAATTTGGCTTTCAACTTCTCTGGCTGAGATGGACTGGTTATTGTGGTCATGTATATACAGTAATGTACTGTGTATAGTTTTCAGGTTGACAAATTCATTAAAAAAAAAGCAAATTCACTAGCTTCGTCTCTGTTTGGCGATTGATTCTTTTGATAATGGGAAAAGAAAATACTGCATGTATTTGATCCGGACAAACAGACAGACAAGAAAGTGAGTTCATAAAAACGTGGTAATAATAATAAAAATAAAGCAAATTCATTCATCCTGGAAATCTGGCATTCAACTTCTCTGGCTGAGATGGACTGGTTGTGGTCATGCATATACAGTAATGTACTGTGTATAGTTTTCAGGTTGACAAATTCATTAATAAAAGCAAATTCACTAGCTTCATCTCTGTTTGGCGATTGATTCTTTTGATAATGGGAAAAGAAAATACTGCATGTGGATAACTCATATATGTGTGACTTATTTTGCATCAGGTCGAAACGAATAAATAAGAAGCCGCAATTATGTTGTCGGCGTTCGCGGATGTGAAGCCTTACGTGAAGGTGTCCAGCACCAACAAAGTTCGGTTCGACACAACCGTGAACAAGCTTCACTATCGTGCAACTGTCGTGTTTTTAATGCTCTGTTGCATCCTTGTTGTCATCAACGACTACATCGGCAAAACGATAGAATGCATTTCAAAGGGAGGCGCAGCTAACAACGCTGTCACGACTTACTGTTGGATCAGTTCGACTTACACGCTGCCCTCGGAACTTGACAAAGAAACCGGAGTCGGTGTTGCCCAGCCGGGGGTTGGACCAGGTTTGCTTCTCCTTACACTGTATATACAGTTCATGCATGGGATTTCATGCTGAGTACTGTACTTCGAAATTTAAGAATGCAATGATGCATCATATAAAAACAAAACCTTCCTCGATCCCAATAAAAATAAAAGAGTTTGATGTTGTATGGGACGCAGTATTCATAAAAACATTTGAGGAAAAACATCCATGCGTTCGAATCTCGAATGTGAATAATACTGTACAGTGCAGCACTCTTAAGGACCTTTTCTTCCGTTTACAGGAATAAAAAGGTAGGAAAACATATAGAAGGACGCAAAAAAAGGGAACAAGCCAGGAACAACAGCTATACAAACTTTTCCGTGCCGAAACTTGCCAAAAATACGATTTTATTTTATTTTGCTTTTAAGACTGCCGCCGCCTAATTCTTCCTTTTGCGCTAGTTAAAATTGGAGTTTAATAAAAGTTTTCAAAGAAACTATTCGTGATTTAAAAATATATACGGTATATACATATATGTTATATACACTATATTAGCAGCATCAACCGACGACCTGAACATGGTTTTTGTGCAAAATTACCATCACGGATAATTTTTTATGCTGGCAAATATAGCCTTCCTTGAACAACCATCGAGTCTGAAGTATAATGGGAGCCATTGGAAACCGATTTGGATGATTTGAAAGAATTCTTCACTTAATTCAGGCGAATACCGTATACATCATCAGTACACCTTAAATAAATATCTGCAATTTTCAATTCCTCATTTTCATCTTATTGAAAGATCCCAAAAAAATGTTACCTACAGCATTTGAAAAGGTTTGATCAGCGCCCGTGTTATGGCAAATGGTTCCAGCAATAAAATCATTCAACGAGGAGCATTAAAATCATTCAATACTATCTCTTGAGTGAGTTCGGTTGGAAATTCAATTTAAAAAAGTTTTGTGAGTTGAATGATACGAATCATGCACAAAATATTCTCAAGTGGAAAGCAAACCTGATCATCACGAAGAAAAACAGAATCATCCTTTTCCCACGCTTTTCAAGTCATGACTGATATAATGAATACCATTGACAGGTTGCAACACTATAATTTCAGCATAATTCATTGGTGTACTAGTCCTCAATGTTCAACTCTCATTCTATTTGTTTCTACTTCTAGAAAACTTCCCTATTCTGTATATACTGTGATGGTAATTTTCTTGACATAATTATTCATAATATGGACATGACAACAGGGTTTCCGGTTGTTCAATAAAAAAAGAAATCGATTCTGCGATTTTTAGCCCAATAATCAAGAATGAGTTTTATTTTTTGAAAAGGCTGGAATCAATTGCTTTTGTTCCTTGGGGAACGGTCCTGAAAATCCTGAAATTGATATTCACCAACGAAATTTTCCCGGCGCTTTTCCCCAGGTCAACCAAACGAAAAGAAGGTGTACCACGCTTATTATCAATGGGTTCCATTCATGCTTCTGTTCCAAGCAATTCTCTTCTACATTCCTCATTTTATTTGGAAATTCATGGAGAACAGCATGTTACGCAAATTGCAAACGAAAACAAGGTGTACCACGCTTATTATCAATGGGTTCCATTCATGCTTCTGTTCCAAGCAATTCTCTTCTACATTCCTCATTTTATTTGGAAATTCATGGAGAACAGCATGTTACGCAAATTGCTTGACAACCTGACTGGAGAACGCATCGAGGGTCGTCAGAAGAACCCGAATGATGACGAACAAGAAGAAGATGAGGATTTCGAAGAACCATCTAAAGGCGATGATGACGATGGTGACAAGCTGGGATTGATGCCAAAGAAATTCAAGCCCACAACCGAAGCCGGCAAAAAAATCCTGCTGGTTGCCCAGTACATGAAAAGTACCATGAATCAGCACGTGACGCTTTACGCCAAATTTGTGCTTTGCGAACTTTTGTGCTTTATTGTGGTCATCGTCAACATTGTGCTGACCGACACATTCTTGGGTGGCGCATTTTCCAAATACGGTACGTTATTTCTGGAATTTTACTTTAAAATTGAAAGTTTCGTAATTTTCTCTCAAGATGAAAGAATGTGAGATGCACTATACTGTGGTTTAATAGAATTTGTAAATCAAAAATAATGTCCTAGATTTCACAACATTTTGCCGTCGAGAATTTCGCAATTATTGATCCTTGATTCTGCGCATCTTCAATGAAGGTGTTGGCCAGTCGACAAGATGAGCAAGTTTCCGTCCCTTTTATTTAATGTACTTACATGCAGTCTTATCTTGAGTTTAGGGCTTGAATTAATCCCAGATAAGAAACACGAGTTGTTTCCTGGGGGGTTTACTGTAGTTCGTAATGGTACTTGTAATATTTTCTGTAGGAGCTGCGACTGTTGATGGTTTTATTTCGATGATTGACTATGAAAAGGATTATCATCATGCTGCAATTCAGTCTTGATTAAAATTGTCCTCATAAAAAACTAAGTGAATATCTGACAAAAGGGTAGTCCGGAAAGCTTTTCTTATTCCAAGATCTTCTTGATTTCCGTTCTTTTTCTAAAAGACAATTTTGGTTGGAAATTTTCTAAACTATGTCTTAGCGAGCAATGTGAGCATAGCAAGGCTGCTTTCTTTCGAAAAAAAAAAAGGTTTCAATCAAGTTTGAAGTTTTTTTTATAAATTTCAGAGGAAACTCTCCCCTATATAGTCGATGAGTCGTACTTGTGATTTGGTACTCGACCCATTTCGGAGTTGTTGAATAGCTTTAATTTATTGTTTTTGAGTTGAAAATCAAGATTTTTGCAATGCCGAGCATTGTTTCCAGGGATGCTTTGTTGATATTGTTCCAATCGATTGCCAAAAAAAACCGTATTTAACCTTAAATCTGGTATCATGGGTCCTGAACCGTTCTTAGGGATTCAACTTTTCAAGGACTGAATTATCATGAACTTACTGTAATCAGCTTAGCCGTAGAACGATATTCCAAAATTTAGAACACATTTATGGATCAGCAAAAAAAAATCAGGTATTTGCTCCGCACCTTTGAGTATTGCATTGAAAAAGATCTGTTTATCCATCATTTTGATTTTGACATTACGGATGATCTTACATCTACAGAAATAGGCATGGATTACAAAGGAAGTTACATTTATTCAAGAGATTTACATTTGCAAATATTTAAGTAGATTGGATTTTTATTGTAAGGTACATTTTACTTGTACGTTTTCTTTTCCTTGGGCACGAAAGTGATTTAGAAGAGGGATTCGTCAGTCGAACATAAAATTTTGTCTTTTTTTTTTGGTGGGGGCGAGATTATTTGAAAATATGACAAGAGTTTAGTCGAACCATGACTGCTTTCAAAGTCCAGAAGATTGTAATTCAGCAGGAATAGCGTCTCTTTCATTGTTGGTTTTTCAGAATCCATTATCTTTTGACGACAAAAAGGTAGGTCTACTATTGTTGAAAATGCTTGTATTCGATGACTCAGCATAACCGTGTCCCACTTTTAAAATGCTCTTCGGTGTCCTTCGTGCTGCTACTGATTTCTCATCTCGTTCATTTCAAATGTTTAAAAGGTGAATTTTTTTGCATACAATTTTAAAAATAGATTTCAAGCAGTTGTCGAGCGACCGAATCTCCGAAAACGAATCTCTGAACGGCCGATTAAATCGCGGGTGATCAAAGTTTTACTTTACTCTTCATGTCATAATACGCTTGGAACGAGGGGAAAAATATTTAAAAAATTTCTGTGTCACCAGGTACGGAAGTGTTGACCTTCATCAACACGGACGACGAATTTAGAACTGATCCGATGACCAAGATCTTCCCTCGAATCACGAAATGCAACTGGCACTCCTACGGACCTTCAGGATCCATTCAAACACACGACGTCCTCTGCGTCCTCGCCATCAACATCATCAACGAAAAGATCTACGTTTTCCTCTGGTTCTGGTTCATCCTCCTAGCAGTGCTCACTGGTGTGCAGCTTGTCAGACGAGTGATCGAAATGGTCTCATCTGCTTATCGAATGCGGGGTTTGCGACGCGCTAAAAATAGCAAAAACGAGAAAAAATACCTCGATGCGTTGGAGAAGCAGTTGAATGTCGGAGACTGGTTTATTTTGAATGCGGCCAAACAAACGATGTTGCCCGATTATTACAAAAAGTTGTTGAGGGCCTTGCACGAAGAACTCGAGGGAATAGAGTTGGAAAATATCCCCAGATCGTCGTCGAACCCGATGTATCCAACTCTGAAAAGCATGAGGAAACGTTTTGCTGGTACAAAAGAACCGTCTGAAGGATACCATGTGTAAAAAAAAAAACGCGAAAACGAATCCTTCGTATCTTGGCTCAGCTCAATCCTCTAGCATATCACAATCAAAATATTTCCCCCTGTTTTGATTGACAGCATTTTTCAGTTCATATATATGTAGAAGAGTTCAAGAAAATGCAAACGACTGAATACTTAAATTCTAAAAAAAAAAAAAAACGGTGAAACTTAGCTGTGCTGCTCCATTTCTCGAAATAATCGATGCTTGTCTTCCAGCGTTTCCGAGTAATTAGAAATCCCTTTTATATAATTGAAATTAATTAAATGTTGATTCAATGTCATATATTTTAACCGTGAATAAAATCAGGCGTTTAACCCATGAATGGATAGAGTTTTAACCGTTAGATCTACCTTGGATGTTGCTTGAAAGTCCTGATTTCATTGGAAAGATGTGGAAGTCTACGAGCATAGATTTTTTTGAGACATTTGATTCGTCTTGCATGCATTCTTTTTGTTTTCGTGGAAGAATGGTTTTTATGAAATAAAGTGCGTTCCTAGTGTGAAAAATATGAAAAACTTCTCATTCCTCTCTCTCTCTTACGAAGAACTTGTCAGAGTCACTATATATGACTAACTAAAGTGGATGTTATCTTATCTTCTCTCGAGTATTTGTTACTTTCAAAAACCGTGAGTATAGATCATTCTGAAGAAAAGATAAAAACAGGTAAAGTTTGCATTCTTGATAATACGCCTTTGCTTCAGTTGAAGTTCCAAAGTTCATTTTTAGAAAGAAAAAAATCTGCAAAAGCAGATTTGAGCTCCATCTAACTTCCTGTGGAAATTTTCCCATTTCGAGTGAATGCTGCGATCGGAAAATAATTCCTCCTGATTCGGATCTCATCAGCAGTGTCAAACAGTTGCACAGTTGTTCCTTTTCAATCAGTGAAAAATAACCGGATGGTCGATCTGTTGCTGCACCGAAGCAAAACACTTCCTATTAGTTATAGCGACACAGGAAAGAAATGAAGTTTCGTGTTTGGAGCGATTTCGCGAAATTGCGACAGAATGATTTTGACAATGCCGTGTCGAAACTGCATCACGTGGTGACGACAAGATTGCTGCTTCTGTTCACTGTGTTGACGGCACTTTATGTTTGTCCAGAAGACGACCCAGTCATGGGCGGCATTTTTGGAGGCTCACTGGCAAAACCCATTGTTTGCATGGCCCACTGGCAAGAAGCGCATCCAGCGATACTCAATTATTGCTGGGTCACCTCGGCTCACACGCTTGAGAGTGAACTGAACAAGAAGCCAGGTGATTTGCTGAGGTTAATTTTTTTTTAATTGATGAGCAGTTATTGATTCATTCCCAGCAGCGGTGGGAATCAAATTAATGCTCAACGTTCGGCGGAGAAACATTTTTGAGTTGCATTAATGTTTCGTTTAACCCAGAGCGCAATACTTTTTGTTTTCTTGAAAAAGGTTCATTAATTTATTCAGAACTCGTTTTCTCGGAAAAAAATTATATTCGGCAGCTATTTGTACAGTATTTGAATTAAAGATAAATTCTTGTCAAAAACAACTCATGGGGGTACTTTCAACAATGTTTTGTACGTAATTGTATACCCAGAATACATTTGCTAAAATGCGTGAAAATACTTGTCGGTAATCAGATATTAATGTCATATATATTTTTTTCCTTGGAACATGAGTACAGTACAAAGCAAACCAGAGATTTCTTACCTGTAGAGAAACAACTAATTAAACTTTAATCAGGATGGAATAAATCAAGTATATCATTGCCTCATAAAGTAAGTTTGTCATGACTGTTGCCTTATGTTACAACAGCCCATTGCAGTTGGGGCAAAAACAGAATATAAATGGGGATAAAACGCAAAATAAGAATGAATACTGCCTCATGAACGAAGTGTTAATTTTGAAAAACTCAAAAGAAGCTTTAAAAGCAGCTCTTCAGTGTGGTGCTCGCATCATTTGGAGAGCCTTATTCAAAATAAAATCATATTTCATATTCTTAAAAAGTGTAAATGTAAGACAATGACGTTGTGAATCGCATATATAATTTTAGAAACCGTAGGGCAAAACTCACCAAATACGTGCCAGAACATTCATGTAATGTTTCGTCGCTTCCGAAGTACAGTACTGTATTGCATTCCTGCACTCGGCCCAACTAGACCTTGACACCTGCGGCTCACATTCTCCCCTACATGAAGCAAAAGAAATTGAGTTGACCAGTGTTCTAGAAGGGTGGACTCAAGGTTACACACCAAGAATTGTAAATCCCGCGTCGGACACCTTCTGACCAGCGTACGGAGACCAATGAGAAAAATCCAGAACACTTCCACTTCAAGTTTTCAAAGCACGACCTAGAGAACAAAATTAGAACGAAAAAATGCAACAAATGAATAATGGAACCTCAGGATAACAAAAATTGATACAACAACCAGACAAAGAAAGCTTGTATTTCAAAAAACAACAAGCATCTTCCAACAGCACGAGGATCATGTTCTCGTTGAGTTTTCTGGTTTGTTTCATTTTGTATTCATGCGTACATACACGGGTTCTTTTGCGAAATTGTTCCAAATGGTGCGAAAAAATCGGGACGAATTCCCCCACCGGAAGGATTCCTCCCTATTTTTAAAATAAACATCTTCTTTTACAATGTCCAATAAGCAATTGTGGAGAAGTTGTGGAGAAAAACTTGGCGACCTACTAAAAAGTTAAGCACTGCACACAAGAAACTTTTCATTCGCACGAATGTACGAAGCTTGGAGTTCACTCATTGCTTCACTTCTGTTAGCTTCTGGCGAGAAGATCCCGAAGATTGTCAGAGATTATACAATCTTCAAAATGCTTCAGACAGCCAAAAAAATGGGCCATTTTCAAGTCTTCGAAATTCTCAACGATTCAGCCGCACCAAGCCTCGCCAATCGGTCCGCAGCTTCGTTTCCTTTTTCACCGGATTGAGCTTGTATCCACTTCTAAAATATTTTGAAAAGAAATTACGCATCAATTCTTGAAAAATAAGCCAGCTATGAAGATAAAAACATTTATAGACGAAAGCAACACTGAGAACAAGGAGCACTAGTGCACATGATCATCATCACCTTTTACATTGTTTTAAATTTTCCATTCTAGTGACGAACAGTATTCTCTTATTTTCGACGGATAGCTGCATGAATTTCCATGTACAATACATTAAATTGAAGAANCGAACGAGGTATAAGATCTGTCAAGCATTTCCCTCCTTCAGATTAGTTTTCATAATACCAATTATCAATCAATTGAACTCATCCGATTAACGAATATCTTTCGCAGCTTTGACTCTCATAAAATTTTTTTTAAACAAGACTCTCATGCAAAAAAAATTTGGCCACATTATTTGCTGGCGGAAATACTTGTGAAATACTTGCAAGAAAAGCGGTTGGAACTATCGCGCGGTTGCATCTGCAAGGTAACGTGTCGGTTAAAAAACTTTTTGGCCTCCTACTATACAATGAGCGAGCTAGTTAACAAGCAAGCTTGTTATAGCATGCTCCATTAGTCTTCGGGGAAAAGACATAAAAAGGGCACGCAAAACCACAATCTCGGTCATTTCTTAGTCAAAAGGCAAACCAGCAGTCAATCAAAAGCGTCAGAAGAGCATTAAAAAACTGTACTGCGTTCAATTCACACTCGGCATCTATACTGTTAGTGAATGCGTCATCACTGAGACGAGAAACCCGGAGATACAACTCATCTGCTGAAGAATCATCATCACAGTTGCTCACCCTTCCAGAAAATTATTCATAATAATGAATTCATTTTATAATAATCGGCATTTTTGATATCGTTATTATCGCATTATTAATTTGGATTTCACAAAATTTTCCTATATTTTATAGCCCTCATCTCGCGCCGCAAGAAATTTTCTTACACAAAAGCTGCATCACTTGCACACCCTACACGTACATTATATAATAGAAGATTACGTAAAGAATATTTCCTCCCATATTCATAGGTTTAATTCCTTGTAATTACTACCTACCTCGTACCCGGGTGAGCGAAATTGGGCCGGTTGTCAGAAAATACTGTATTTCGGATTGCCCTTCTTTGAAACAGAGAAATGTTTATCTAGTTGCGTTATGATATACAGAGGTAATTCTAAACTGAACAAATCAAAGAACAAGCCAATTACATAAATGTATTCAATTTTCGGAATTTTCAGGCCAGTGGAAATGAGCGACAAAAATACTTACGCAACGTGATCCGGTCCAAACCAAACTCCAACTCCGGACGTTTTCAATGAAGTGTTGCAGGATCCGTCTGTATAACAGCTGGCAAATCCATCAGGAGTGAAAGTAAAATCCGAGACCTTCGCTTTTCGTCCTTGTTCCAAAATTTTTGGAGGAATTGTAGGCTTTTCATACGTTGCACGTACTGCGGAAGCAACAACAGACTCTGCCTCTCTGAACACCAAATCTGGCCTAAATATCTTGGAAGGAGACATGATCTCGGCTCTACGTTTCTCCGCGTTCCCGGAACACTATTCGAAAGAGACAAAGAGTCAAATTCGTGGCCTAAATTTTTGGATCAAGCGCGTTAAAAACCGTACTTGAACAGCTGATCGCTCGCCAATAAAATATCGCATGCTTATACGAGATGTACAGAGAGAGGGAGAGAGAATTCGTCAGATGAAGACGCCGAGAACACAATGAAAAAAGACGTGGAGTGCAAAATAAAAACCCCCGCGCCACACCGAGAGGACGTCACGTTAAATAATTTCGTGATCCCCCTTATGAACGCTGTTCGAAAATTTTCCGAGGAACACTGGCTCTTGTCTAATTTCACCAGATCCGAAGACACAAAAAGACACTGGCTCACTGACGCGCGGAAGCAGCAGAATCCGATGATCCGAAGTTCACTTCCGCTACATAGTTCTCGGCTGTCTTAAGAAATTGCATTCGGTTAATCAAGTTAAGACACTTAGTCACAATTACAGGAGAATTTGGCTTTCGACAACTGTATTTGCCAATCAGACACGGAGGATTTCATTGAGTATATACTCGGGTAGATAATGGGTGAAACACACTCTGAATGAATGAAAAACGAATTCCTTTTTCCTCGCAGTACTCACCGGAATCATACTTTTCTATTTCTGAAATTGAGAAAATTGTTCCACGCGCATAAAGCCTTCTTCCGAGATGAAAATTTCATTCTCATGAAGAATATCTACCCTAAATCGTGGCTGACGAAGTGTTCCCGAGTACTGCATTCTCGACACGCCAGCAATTTTCTCAGAGCCACTCCACGAGGAAGATAATAACAGCCTCGCGCAGAAAATTTGAAATTGAAACTCATTCTAGTCATGTGACTCATTGAAAATCCATGTCACTCTAGTCACGTAATCAATCTGCATCACGTACTACATTAACATTTGCGACAGACGTCCTGCAACTCGCAGTGTTATTTCAATGAGCACCTTTCGGGACACACTAAAGATCTTACAGATCTCAAGATTGGAAAACTTACAGTTGGCGGACAGGGACATTGAGGTACACCTCTCACAGCTTCATGCGATGATTCCAGAGTATGCACCCTGCGCACAATATCCTTTACTTGTTGCAGAAGCACCGTTAGGATACGATTGTCGACAACTTGAAATCCCTGCCGAAATCAGCCAAAACACAAGCTACAGTATGTAAGACTGTATCATCACCAACAGTGAGGAACATTATACCGTAATACCGGTAATATGCCCTCTTTAATATTCATCTGTACACAAGATTCCTTCTATCCACTTGAAGAAAGGAACGGACTCAATTTTCCATTAATTTGCTCAATTTCAGGGATCATTCCGCCATCGATTTGGCGCATCAGAAAATTAAGGACTGGACTATGGAAACATCCACGAACTACAACGAGATATAATTTTCGTCGATTTTTCTAACGTCTCATAGTACTGAATGTCGATGGAACATTTAATTCTTGAAAACATGCGTGGAATGCACCAACTTGATCATTCAGGTAGTTTTCCGCATCCTGTCGAGTGTCGAACTTCCTGTACTCATTCCTACTGAACCGGCACACTTGACGGTTACATTCTCGCCTACATGAACACATACCATGGAGGAATAACTATATTATAAGTGTAAAATGTGTAGAACATTCCATATGTGATACACACCAAGACGAATAAATCCCAGGATTGACTCCACGCAAAACAGCGTAAAAAGGCATTGCCACCGATAGAAGTGCCGAAAATGATACAAGCTTCCGCAAATCCACCTTGGGGATAATTTCATACCAGAAACATCAAATAAGGTGAACGAAGAATGATAATACCTAATAAAAAAAATAACCTCACACAGCAGAAAAAAATGTCGTGCATTCCTACCACGTGGGCAAAGCGCTTACTTCAAATACTTAGAATCGGTGTTTTTTTTTTCAAATAAAACCAATGAACATTATCCGTATTTTCCTTGAATGAAGCTGATGGATAACATTCTGAGAAAAGTAGAAACCCCTTCTAGCTGCAGGAATTCTCCCACTTCACCCATCGGAACAGCAAAATAAATACAATAGAATCTGGGACGATATTCAAACTTTCCAGAAAATAACGCAGTTAAACTTCATCGTAATACAGTAATGTACCATGTTTTCCTTATCTCTTCGACGCAGGAGGTTCGATGAAAAAATTTCCAGTCCGTCGCCGTTGCACTTTTCTAATCCTTCGCAAAAAGAATCCCTATTCGTAGAGACGCTTTTTTCCTTATCCAGTAATTCACGATTCACGTCAAAACATGTGCGCGTATGGAAAAAAAAATCGTAGGGGTTAAAGACGAGGCGGTCCAGTTGCCGTGAACTTTACTAGCATGATAGAAATACCTATCACAGTCACGATGAGTTGATAAAAATCTGCGGTATTTCATTACGCAGTTAAATTTCGCAGACTTATCCAGTTAATGTCTCCTTCAGCATTCAGCCTGCATGTAAGCGATTCAGTATTTCGCGAATTACCAAACAACTATCTCTCAGCTAATGTCACTTATTTTCCTTTCCAAAAAAGATCCGGAATCCCTGAAAAATGTTCTCAGAAGACTTGCGCGGATTGGAAAGAACCAATATCGTGTTTCGGATTGGATCATGATCTGCGCACCTCTATATTCGCAAGGTTCCGTTAGACAGGGGTGCCAAAGATACGGCCCGCGGGCCAGATCTGTCCCGCGGAGGCTTTTCATCTGGCCCGCCAAGCCAGCATGGAAAGTCCTCACAAAAAAATTAACACCATAAAAAAGTAAAAATTGCGAGTTTTTTTAGACGTCTTCAGTGTTTTGATTAGGAATTTTATTATAGCTTCAAAAATGTTGTAATGATTCTTTCTAACAACAAAGACCAATGAAACAATATGCATTGCTTTGTGATGTCATTGATCCCGTTTTTCAGATGAAATAGCAGGGTTTTAGAATCTGGGAATTTAAATGTTACCCCAGCATGTTCTGTTATATTGTTAATGTAATTGCATCTCTTGGTAGGGTAAAGATTTGCAGTAGCTTAATTTTCTGAATAGCATGAACAATGATAATAACACATTAATAGACTGTCATGTAAAAATGTATTTGTGAAGGGATATGAACAAATTGAGAAAGACATTCAACACTGGACCAATTGAGACAGGGTCAATTTGAGACAGGGACAATGTGAGACGGAGGGGCCAAGGAAATTTAGTGGCAGGGACAATAATTGGAGAAAAGGACATCAAGAGACAAGGGAAATTTTAGGCTCTCCCAAAGCAACTCTGCACACAAGATATTTTTTATACACTTATTTTCTGGTATTCTCCAGATTCTTGGTGAATTTTTAGGGAGTTTTCAATTGCACTAAAATTTCTGGTTGTTCTCAGATTTTCACCACCTCCTCAACTCTGTACACAACATTTTTTAAATTGGGCTTAATTTTCTGTCTTTCTGGCTTTAGCATAATTCCATTTGAAGATGTTTTAGTATGTTATGCTTTTGAATTTAAATATTTAAAATGCTTAAAAATGCGTATTTATATATACGTTCCCTTTTTTATTTGTGTGCTATAGAGTTATTGTGCTCAGGTATGTTTTTAGGTGTATTACAATGTACTACAGTTGATCAAGAGAGGAAGGAAAGAAAGAGAAAGTTTTTTAACCTGAAAAAATCTGTGGCTGTGCTCATGGAATATTCATTCATGTCACTTTTTGACCAAGCAGTGCCATTTTTGTTCATTTTCACACTTTAATAATAGATATCCGGAGAAATACAGGAGTCTTTCTGGTAATGCTTCTATCCAGAAATGACTCATAATATTCATACCTCAAAATGTATCTGGCTCAAGTAGTTCCGGGTTTGTAACGGGGTCCCCGCGCGACAATAGCCCTGACAAGAAATCCCCGCCATACCCGCGCACAGCTGTAACGAAAGCCCCGCCCGAACTTTTTTTCAGGACTTGTAGTCTTTGGTATAGTCAGTTTGGTAGTCGCCGCTGGTTAAACTTCATTACTTTGCTACTGATTGAGGGAAGTACACGAGCTCTTGAAGAAAAACAATGATTTAAAAAAAAATGAAACAAAACAAATAACAAAAGATTACAAAAAAATAAAAAAAAAAACGGGGGAAAGTTTTTATTTACAAAAAATTAAGAGTCTTTGAAATATTTTCCAAGAAATCCGAGCATTCAATAAGTCGGCTTTGATAATCTTTGCACAACTGTCGCAGTTTTTTCTGGCAATCTCTCTCAAAAGTCGACACTTGCTTATGTGGAATGACACCATCTTCGTCAAATTTCTTCAGCGTTGTAGCAACTGATGCAGCGTCTTGTTTCAGGCAGCGAATTAATAACCAAATGGTGGGATTTTTCTTTCCAACCAGGCCATTGAAATAGCGATTCCAAGCTTCACTGAAATTGTTAGTCGCGCCAAGATCATTGAGCACAGCCGGAAATGTTGGGGTTTGTCTGGTGAAAACAACTGGGGCAATTTTTCTGGGCACTTGACTTGATGGTCCCAAAAATCAAGCCGGATGATCAAGCCGGACACTCCGTTAAACGTATCGGGTCTCGATAAAAATATGGCATACAGTTATTTGTTGACGCTAACGTGATCCTTCGAACACATTTTCCATTAACCGTAAAATACTTCAAATAATGCTTAGAAAACTGAGGCATCAACGACCACCTCTTACAATTCAGTAAAACTTTACAAGCATCTCATATATTTTCCTGGGGGATTTCATCATCAAGCCATGTGGGAAACAAAGTTCAACTCAGTGCAGCAACAGACTCCAGAAGGAACATCAGTTGCGAAAGATTGAAGGAAAATGTCAGCGGCAGAAAACCAGTTGTTAATTCAGCACTGAGGACTGAAAATCAGCGTCGCGATGAACAAAAAAAATGAGGAGTACGTGGGAGTGACTCTGGTCAGCTCACAGGAGTATCCAGCGATACACCACAAAAAATCGAGAAAGAACTTGACGCCATCAAAAATCACCACAAAAGCATCAAACCCGCCCAAAACAACAGGGAGCCGACTGCAAATATCAGAAACCCCTTCCTCAAAATTGTACAGAATTACGTGTCCTGTTTTAAGTTCATGTGTTTCCTTCCTTACTTCTATGATCCCCCGACAGTCCCGAAACCATTGTTTCAACCCGCACACTCCGCGGAAAATCTTGGGGTTGAAAGATGAGACGTTCCTTCAATTTTTTTCATTTTCGTGACACATGAGCCGATTATCCGGCCATTTCGACACAGAAAACTGGAAGGTATCCGTTACATTTGCCGACTCAAAACAATTGACGAAAGTCAACTTGGTCTGTGGGATGTAAGTTCTCTCGTAAATCTGGGTAACTAATATCCATGCAAATCGTCAATGCTTTGTGATTCATCACTGTCGATGAATCCGTTTAATCTGCCCATTCAGGACAAGGTAACCACAAAACGGTCTTAATCTCACGGACACAAAGGAAAAACATGACGAACGAGGTATAAGATCTGTCAAGCATTTCCCTCCTTCAGATTAGTTTTCATAATACCAATTATCAATCAATTGAACTCATCCGATTAACGAATATCTTTCGCAGCTTTGACTCTCATAAAATTTTAATAATATCCATGCACTAATATCCATGCAAATCGTCAATGCTTTGTGATTCATCACTGTCGATGAATCCGTTTAATCTGCCCATTCAGGACAAGGTAACCACAAAACGGTCTTAATCTCACGGACACAAAGGAAAAACATGCCGCCGACGACTTGAGAACAAAAGCTCCTCCGCCATCCGCTTTTTTTCTGAACCTCTACATAGAAAAATATTTAGACCGACACCCATTCATCACTTCTTGGGGATATTTTGTAAGATTCTCCGGAGTTCGCAGTTTTGAACAAATGAAATTTTCCTCTTATTCGTAACCAGAAAGACGCTGACTCGGGCCGTCACCCATTGTCTACTCGATCTACTGGTCAAGGAACCGAAGTATAACGCGACACTTGCATGATTACAACCGTTCGAACTTATTCGATCACTTTCGTAATTCTCAAGTCAATACAGCATGCAGTTACTTCCTCTGCATTCTCATTTTTCTACACATATCTATTCCTCTTTTCGGGGCCCCGTCAACGGCTGTCACTCAGGTCGTGTTCGTCTTCCGGAACTATTGTCGCCTATTGATGCCGCTGTTTTCCGTTCAGCGTCATGACACTGGATTGCCTGTGAATTAAGCTGTAAACTGCCTGTAGTCTACTTCCTGAGCAGAGGACAAGAACCTCGCGTTTCCTCCCCACCCCGACCAACCTCCGGTGATAAACCGACGGAATCAGTTAGCAAGACCAGGATTTAGGAATCGATTATACAACACGTTTCTCCCACCTGGAGGAAACAAGCATCTCGATCTTCAACGGTAGCTGCGTTTCAGTTTTCTAGGATCCATTAGAACTACTCCCCTGAAATTTTAAATTCGTATCGAGGGTTTCGACTCAGAATTTTTTCCGGCGTAATCATTTGGACCTCGAATGCCGTATTTTTGGAACACTTCAGAAAAATACTTGAAATGATGAGACGGTGTTGTTATCGAAACTTGGAAAAGTTCAAATGACGGACTGTAGATCATTCGAAATCTGATCCTTTCAGATATACCCTGCTCATATTCAGCAACGAACAAAAAGCGTTTTGTCCTAGAATCGGCATTTGGCGAATGACTCCACTTACTGAATACCATTGCGCCCAGCGAACAAGACGCGACGCATTTGTCACTCAAACCTTCCCTTCCTCAGGAAAAATCAATCACGAGATAAATCTACTCAAAAACTGCCAACATATTTACATATTTACTCAACATAGGCTGCTACATCCATATCTCGTAAAACGTCAAACCTTCCCGGTTATTCACCCAGAGAGCTGTGAGTACTATAATATAATATTGAGCTTCATCGGCGGATTGACAACAATCCCTGGTTCAAAAGGTACGACAGTCGTCGTTGTGTCCAGAAAATCACTGAGCAGTACAAAATTAACTCTGATGAGTTCCACATGATTCGAATCGAAGAATCTATTCAGTACCCAACCGGAATGATGGAACTCCTCCATCTTCCCTAACCAGATTCGGAAAATCACAATTCCACGGAAGTCAACACACACCCGCCAGACATAGCTCGTACAGTATTCTAAGTTACGTAACCCCGGAATTAAAAAGAAAACGGACGAACAGACAAATCCCCGAACAAACCGACCGATTCCCTTTGGGAGCAAGAATTGGAGATCCATCCCACCAATCCCTCCTCATGAAAATCTAACCACCTCTTCCTCGCCTCTCATTGGCTGAGAAGTTTTAATCGAATATTCTATCTCCTAGGAGCGCCCTCTGATGCGCAACCCAAGAGAGAGAAAACAAGACCTTGGACTTTTGGTGAACATCCGATTCGTCATCGACAAGGGTGCAGAACTTAGTTCTTGAAAATCATATCTATAGCAGGGCACTGTACCAGAAATGTGTTCCTTCCTTTCCTCCCCTATTAGCACCAGCCATCTCACGTATTCTCTCACTGTGCTGCCTAAAATCACATTACAGTACATCATCTTTCTTCACCACATCACATTCCTGAATTCTTCAGGAACTCCGTTCTATTTTGACCATACACAGTAGACCTCTCACCGGATCACACAGTGGATTTGAATGGAAATCATCATTCGACAATGAACATACAGTAATCATGAAACCTCAGAACATGGCATCGAAGTACGTGATTCGTAGTCCATGAAATTACGACCAGAAACATCGGCTCTGCTGAGGAACAACCCTTATCGAACTTGAATTGCACGCAGCAGCTATTCGGAAATGACCATGTCAACTGGCGCTGCACCTAGGCGTTCCATGCAATGAATACCCACACGCTTACATCACAAGCACGCAGGCCACATAAGCCCTACCAGGAGTGCTGTACGGCATGTTCAAGTTCGTTAAGCATCGGAAAATGAACATATTTATCAGTCCGTCGAAGTTACACGTGCTATGAACTTCGGAAAACCTTTCCCTTCATAGGGTGGCTCTATAGTTTAACAAGCAAGCCACGTCACGTTTACGCCAAAACCTGAACGCGTGTAAGAAAAGGAATAACACAGGGAAAAATCAAGGAATGTCTGTCAGTCGCTGTGCCGATCACCAAAACCTCCGCTGACAAGGAGGAAGAGTACCCTTTCTAACAATCGAACAGTTGAGAAATTCGTGCCCATACGCACTGAACCAATACTCGATTCTGAGTCATACACCCTAAGAGTTCACGACATGAATTCCCATTCCCCATGCTCAGAACACACCGCAACCGTGGTTCCTGCAACCACTTCCTGCTACGCTATCCCGCATGGTCATAAACCAGCTACAGCGAAGTCCTCCATCGAATAAGAAGCATCAGAATCGAACGCTCTTCACATAGAACTGAATCATGAGTGTCCTGAGATGGACACCAACAAATTAGCCCCACAAGGCACGACTGTCCAGCACACCAAAAAGTCTCTCGCAACTGGAGACGTGAAAAATTAACGGCAGAGACGCCGCGCGCTCCTTCCCACTGGCGGAGAATTCGACGGAGTCAGTCTTCCTGCGCACCAGGCGGAGACTTCCATGGTCCAAAGCTGTTCTCAGATTGCCTCGGACACGAACTACGGCCAGCTATATACCCGCTGTGTCGAGTCAGCCAAAGCCTCCTGATTGGCCTGAAATGAGAAGTCGAGGATGCTGTGCGCCGGAAGCGCGCGCGTGGCCTATAGCCCTATACTCTCCATATGAAACTTCAAGTGAAGCAGAAAAATGAGAACATGCAGCCGTTTATGGATTCAGGGACTCTTGTTTGAAGAGATCCTTCAAAATTATTTTCAATGAATCATAAAATACTTAGCCCAAAGTTTAG